GCCAAAATGGCGGCGAGACTGATGGCGTTGGATTTTACTATTTAGAGACTGATGGCGTTGAATTTGACACTTACTGGCAAAATGGCGGCTATAAAAAAATCTCGGACATAATTTTCGCAGAGTGGCACATCTTTATAGTATCTAATCTTTGATATTATTAGCACTGATGAAGATCCGGGCTTACGGATCGAAAGCTTTGCAGTAATAAATTTACGTGGTGTTTCCACAAACAAAACTATTATAAACTCTTTTGTTTGGAACACCATCATATATGGCAGTCATAGCTTTTGTTGAGTTTGTCCCTGGAAATGAATGCAAACGCTCTATTCCATGTTGATCTCCACGTTTTAATTGTCTGCGGCAGGCTTAATGTTTTAGGAAAACTGTACAGGATGTCCCGGAAAAAAACCCCCCCAAACTATTGAAATAATAACGTATTGTTAAGCCTGATTCTCATATGTCGCCGACGTCGGCGATGCCCATTGTCGTTGATCATTGATGAGTAAAATCTTTTGTCTATGTTCTCTTCACTGATCACAAACAATGGCATCACCGACGTCGGCGACATATGAGAATCAGGCTTTAGAATTTCTAATGCCCTGGCATTAAACTGAATGCTGAAAGCAGTTTTTCAACAGTTTCTTTATGCATAAAATTTACTTATGTCAAGCTTTTATGCACTTGTGGGTTCAGCAGAGTGCTGAGGCATTCAAATTTTAACAATACGTTATTTCAATAGTTTTAGTTACTTTGTGACACATCTTGTACACGATTGTGTCTCCTGGGAATTTGTTTCGCTGCTCAATTAGCAAGCGAGGCTGCGGACCAATAACGTGACAGAAAAAGTAACCGTTTCATCATTCTGCACTCGAAAGAATTTAGAATCTCATTATTTGCCCTCCTGTTATTTTTGTGTTAAAGTCTTGTGGGTTGCTCGAAAGCTGATCGTGCATCATGCAGTGTAATATTGTGATTTCTTTTTCAGTTTTTGATACGAAAGTATCACCAAGTATGAACAACGTTTAAAGTTTATTAAGGGGATAAATTCTCTCACAGCACTACACCGAAACAACTTTCAAAGCTTATAGGTATATCTGTATACTAGATTGACATTCGACTCAGATACTAGACAAATATAATTGCTTCAACAACACAGCAATGGACGTTTATAAAGCTCTTGGAGTTAAACTGGATGTCACGTCGGATGTTCATAAACGTATTGGTAATCAGTGACATGTAGAAAGGTTAGTCGACAAGTGGCAATCCTGTATGGGAAGACAGTGGCGTAACAGGGCAATATTCATATATTAGTGTTCTGCCTTATTACTTTCTTTTGAAATCAATTGTTTTCAAGCTCTGTGAACACGAATATACGAATATCCCCCCCCCCCTCGAAATATTGAGTTTGTTACGCCATTTCCGTAATTCTCGTAAATTTAGCGAAATTTTTGCTATAACTAGTACTTTTTATTCCGAGTTACTCAACTTCCGAGCCACTAACTACGAATACAATCTGCCGATAAACTCCGAAAACAGTTTGCTGAGTCAAGCAGACATTAATTGCCTAGTCCGTGATGAATGGAGGGGGGGGGGGGTGTTCATAGAAATAATAGACCTAAAATGCGTGCGCATAGCTTTTCTCAGTAATAATTTGGACTCTACAAAATGGCGGATTTATAAGGGCATTTTACCAAACTCCTGCGCAAGGAATTTCGCGCCGTTGCAGGGAGTGCGGTTTGTTTGTTTTGTCTACAAAGTTTGCAACAACAATTTATATATATATATATATATGTATATATATCGAGAATTAAAGTGGAAAAAATGTTGTGATGGAGAAAAACCCATTCCAGTGTGTGTGTTTTTTTTAACGAAAAGCAACAGTTCTGAACTCTAATATTTCTATGGGGAGTTACACCCCGCCCCTCCCACACTCCCCTTTAGCTACGCTCTTGTCAGTGAATGCATGAAATACAATATAAAGTACGAGTCAAACAGCAAAGTCATACACAGCCAGAAACGCCACAGAAGTGCTGCAAGTTGCGGATTTTACCGACCTGCTGCAAGTTGTCAACAGGTTGCAGCAGGCTTGTTGACGTCATAAACTTGTTGACGTCAGCAAGCCTGTTGAAATCCGGCCTTGTTGCAAGTTGACATTTGCAGACTTGGTGCAAGTTGACGAAACATTAACTCTGGGATTCGAACTCGCAAGTCGCAATGTTTGTCCATGTTCATTCAACACTTTATTATATATATATATATAGAGGTTATTCTTAGCTGCCGCGATTTATGATTGCATAAAAATGTAGCCTATTTCATTGAAGTTGTCGGTGGTATCTGCAGTTACTACAACTGGGCAACAAGCTGGGGGTACAAACCAGCCGAACCGTATTCAATCTTTTTAGTTAACTCTATCTATGTCGTAGCGTGCCTTGCACGTGGTTTTTGTCTCAATATCGTTCTTGCAAAAGGTCCTAATTATTATTATTATTATTATTATTAGTATTATTATTATTA